CTTGAAAACCCGAAGATAATGGCATATTTCTGCCAAGGAACTCACCGAGATCGAAAATCCAGAACATCCGGATGTCCTTCTTGATCGATCCCGAAACGTTTTCTATCGTGGATTCTGATTGGCCGTGCTCTCGACTTCTTTATTCGAGAGTTCAGATTGGTCGAAGAGATCATATATATGCGCATAAAAACTGCGCAGAAGATATCGCCGAAAAAATCTTGTTAAACTCGGACATTTCCTTCTTCAATCATCAAAATATTGGTTTAGTATAATGTGGAAAGCACCAAATGATAGATATTTATCGTGATGATGCACTGAATTACAAAATGTTCCACTTTTTCTGCATTTTAGTGTAAGTAATGATGAAGTACTCTATTATCGCCCACTGATTTCTTTCGGAAAATATTTTCTCTGTGTGTTCGGTAATAATACTGGTTATTTCTTGATTTTTCTTGAACTTTGTGAAGCGGGGTGAATGGTTATTAGGGGGTTGGCGCTAAAAACGGCAATTACTGTTACTAAGCAACGTGTATTTTTTGTTCTTCATTAATTTTTCTGTGTAGATCTATATATAGGGCCTAAAATTTGACTTTTATGAGGAATATCATGCTCAGTTTGCACAAAAGAGGTTCTAAATATCAATAATTTTCTAGAGGTGGAATGCTACCACCCCCCCCCCCCCCCCTCCCCCAGCCCGTGATACATTTTTAATCATCATCATATCATAGTGTATTATTAGGGAAGAAATGATACTTTGATATAGTTGGATGCACAAGTTTGACAAATTGCAGATTCTTTACTTTTTAGATAAATAAATGATTTTCGTAAAAATTTGCGATGTTAGCGTAATTTTATACTGGCTAGTGAAAAATCTGTTTGGCCAGTGGTATCTGAAATCCAGTGGCCAAAATGGCTACCAGAAAAAAATCCTTATCTGACACACTGATGTTTAACAAATTATAGAGATACCCTGTAAATGCCTAAATGTGGTGCATCCCAAATGTAAACTTGTGATAAAAGCACATCATAAGCAATCCAAGAATTTTGCTAATGGGGGGGGTGTACACATGTTAAACAGCAGTCTCCATCATCATAGCATGCATTGCATTCTTCACCTTTTTAGCCAGACTACATCCGAGTCTCCTGACCTCCTCAGCTCCATTGAACAAATCCCTGGGGGTTGGCTCAAAAAGGGCGATATGATCACAGCAAACTCCCCTCCCCTAAAGAATGGCCATGAGGCATACACATTTTCTGTTAATTGAATGACAACTGGCTAGTTCATAATGATTATACATGGTAGTTATTTATTTTTTAGAATTGGGAAGACATAAGATCAATAAGGCATGGCCTTGAAATCAAAAGTGGTGAATTTTTAACTCCATAAAAGGAGCACTGGAAGCTGACGTGCGTGAGTATTGGAATGCTAATACATCGGATATAAAGCAAGGGATAATCAATTGTGGAGACTTCGAGCAGAGATTCAAAATTTTTGCAGAGGATGCCATTAATGTTGCGCTGAGTCCCAACCAAATAGAAACATTCCTATCAATAGGCGACGATATGAATGAACAGAGACGATACTTTCAAGATGTCATTGATGGTGACGTCTTCAGACGAGCATACAAAGGACTTGGTTATTGGGCATTCATAGGTATCAATACAGATATAATGCCAGCTCTCGATTACCCCAACATTTTTTTACAACATTTTCTCAACAAGGTGAAAACTACACCTATGAATCAAAGCTTCTTCATGGAATACATTTTCACATGGAAACAGGGTGTCCTCACTCCACTAAGGGAGTACCTACAAGAAGAGAATTTTGATGTTCTGAAAGACAGAATCGGGCGCATGAAATGGTTACATGGGAAGATGATGAACTACTTCAAGACATTTCCAACACTAAATCAGCCAAAGTTTGATGCTATGGGCCTGTCCAATGTCACTGATTTGATGACACTCAGCAACCATAATGCAACCCTAGGAGCGGCTGCTAAAGTTGTTAAACAACATGGAAACATTCTCTTTTTGTGTGTTAAGGGTCTCCCTAAAACTTGGCCAGAGGATCTTGTGGGATCAGCTGTTGTTATCGAACATGATAAGGTAAAAGAGTGTTCCGAAATGAATCGTGCATTCTTCTGGGAAGACATACAGGTTGCAAAGGTATTGTGAAACAATGTAACACTGAAGCCTCAGTCACATTTGGTGGCCATATAGCTTTACAAAATCGATATAGAAAATCTACATAGTATTGCTTATGCTTACTGCTTATTTTACGCTGCATATTTCTCTCAAAAGACATGGAGGTGTTTGTGGAATGTATGAATCAGGGACGTTTTTTCATGCATTTCGCTTCAATAAACTTTGAAACATTTTATTGACTATATGATTGCACCATATAATCCCCCAAAACTTCAGAGGGCTGGGAATCATTGATAATCAACGCTTTTGAATAATATAAATGCTGTTTTAAATTGGTTTCATGTATGCCAATAATTTCTCAAATTGTGCAAACTGAACGCATTCTTAAATCCCTAGAATATTCTCTTGGAGGGATTTCCAATAGAAATCCAATGGTATAGTTCCAAGCAGATCTTGAGACAGCTGGAAAGTAAATCTTTTATTGGGTTGTTTTAGTTTATATCGTGACCTGATTTAAAAAAATGATTTTTTACTTCAAAAGGTCAAAGTAGGTCAACCGGAAGTTGAATCTCAATTTTGATTTCAGATTCTGAATCCAGAGCATATTTCCTATTAAACTAATACCTATTTGGATGGATTTAGTAAGAAACAATTATGTGTTGATTATCGCTAATTCAAGAATTTGGTGGCAGCAGTAGGATTTTTTGTAATTTCAAAATTTTGATTCCAGATTTGGATTCCTGAGAAAATTTGATACCAATATTGATAGATTTGGAACATCTTAAAATTGGACTTATTTTTGATTTAAGACATAGATAAATATTTGAAATTTAAATCAAATCTAAGCACTCATATTTGAACTTTACTTGAACTGTTAATGAAAAATGATCAGTTTCTTTGAATGAAATCTGTCGACCAATACTTGAGTTATCACCCAGCCACAAATGGACAGGCAGATGGCTTCTCTATATTTTATTCATCATTTGACTCATCTGATTATCAAAAACCTGTAACTGTGAAGAGAACTAATCCAAACAACACAAGACTGGAAAAGGTTGTATCACTGGAGAATGTAAATTGGTATTTCATTATATCAGTGCAAGTAATACCATTTTTTTATCTGAAATCCCAGACATAATAAAATAGCTAGGCATTAACATGCAAAATGTCACCACCTGCCATTTATTTGAGATGCTGAACACTGACTTCTGGACACCATCCACAAAAAAGTTGTAGACTATATAGTCGGAGACATTAATGAACCTCAACCATCAAAATTTGTCACAATGAGCTAAATTCTTAGTTTCATGTCTCAAACTCTCCCAAGCGATAGAAAATAATTCACGTTCACTTTAAGTAGTACAATAATTGAATCCAATGCTCCATACCTGCAAATGATGGATAAATTCCTACCAAATTGACCGAATGTTTTCATGGATCGCCATGTTTGTGATCCAAGGAGGATTGACTCCCAGAATGCAACATCAGTTAAACTTATTTACCCGTGACAGGTTTCAAAATGGCTGAACATGTCATGTTGCATTTTGGGAGCCAATCATCCTTGTGGTGTAATCGAGCTCTAAAATCACCTCAACATTTGAAGAGTCAGCATTAACATGTGAATATCTCTTTTTCATAGTGTTAGTAATTCTTTATGTTTACCACTTTAGCAATGTCACCACTTCTGGTGGTGACATAACAATGAAGTATTTGTATTCATAAATAATTAAAAATTAATAAATAATGAATAAATAATAAATATAAAGCTAAATGTTAAATGTGTTTAAAAGTAAATGCCGCCTCAAAGTGAGATTTACTTATGTGTCAAAATCCAATTCTTATCAGCTTTTCAAAAATATTTTATACTCTACATCACTGAAGTCAAGTTGACTTTCAATACAATATATTCAAATTGCTATCACCAGGATCAAGAGTTTACCCAAAACTAAAAAATAATTTATGTTTTTTTGAGAGCAACAAAAGATCATTAATATTGTTTATACATTTGTAGTTTATTTGCAAGGTCTGAGTAACCTAGGAGTCGGTGAATTATACAATTGTACTGTTATTGGTGTAAAACTGCTGGCTGTTTTGCTTTATTTTGGGATTTGGTTGCCTACATGTAATAGGAATCAATTGGGTCGTGTATCAGTCAAAGCTAAAAATTAATCGAAATTGAATATCCAAAAATTGATATTATATGGAAAATACATTTTTTTCATTTTTTTCATGCAAAATGTTTGTTTATCTTGGATTACTGCTTTTTGGTTTGGCTAATAAATAGAGTGACCTCTTGTATTTCAATGCTTTTTGACATATCATTTTTAATAAAATAATATGATTGAAACTCCTTAAATTACAAGAGGCCACAGATTTAATGCACATAAAACTCATTCATCTGCAACATACAAATGTTTTGACTCTAAAATATGAATGTTTTTTCAATAAAATACTTTTTATATCTTTCAGATTTGATTGATGTATAACCATATTGACTGACAATTTAAGTGCATGTATTGTGAACAAACATAAACCTATAAGAGGAAATCACTAAAAGTATAATCATTTAGAACAACGTACACCTTGATTTACAAACATATAGTTCATTGCTGTTCTGTAGATCTCAATGGTAAATTTTACTTGTGTGTAATCACTTAACTATTATATACTATAAACATTATATTTGTATTATGATCCCTAGAGAGATAAAATAGTTATAATAACTGTGACTCAGTTAAACAAAATTATTTATAACCTTTTTACTTGGCCTCATACCAAACTGCATGTAAACTCACTACATGACATTCATCAGCAGTTCAAGTTTAAGCAGACTTACATGAAGATAAGGAAGAACAATGTCGATTCTACGGTATACAAACAAGTTTTTAGCAGGGAATATATTTGGGAGAGCATTAAGACATGTTGCATGTCGCACCTACTCAGAGGGGGAGGAAGTGCCCCCAGTACATCTTGGTCAGAATGAGAGGATACTGTTCAGCATGGTAAGGCATGAGTTCTTTACTTGAACATTTATTGTTCTATTGGTAGTGCTCATGCAGATTGTTTAATTTTTAAACGTGTAGATATCTTGAATGTTCCCTTGTGTTGTTGAGAAGTGCTAACGTCATCATCGGTGTGTCTCGTTGACATTTTTTAGAATTTATCTCGATCGATTACAAGTTCGAAATGATTTTTTCACGAGACTAAGATCAATGAATCTATACTCATAACCTGATGTCAGATGCACTGTATCACATACTCTATGCTTGCATCATCACAATTGTATTTGATCTCAGACTCACAATAATCCAAATTACTCAAGACCAAAATTCCCCAAAGTTAGGGGAGTAACTTGATGTGAAAACACTGTGTTTTTGCAACAAGATGGCCAGCCTTCCACTTATAGATTTTTGAAAGACATTTTGTTTTCCCAATTTAAACCCATTTCTTGGACAATTTTTTCACTAGTCGTATATGTGCAGTTAGGGCACGATCTATAATTTTAAGAAATGTACATTTAGCATCACCAAGAAGCGAGAAATTCATGGTTTTAGTTCATTGCTTTTGATGCAAAAATACCACTCTGTTTGTTTATCAATGATACAAAAACATCAATGAGCTGATGCAAAAACGCCAATATAATGTATATTACTGAATTACATTAGAAACATATATTCATGTTATAGCAATTACACATGGGAGCTTATTTTTTCCAGAGTTTGGAAGATATAAGATCGATAAGGCATGGCCTTGAAATCAAAAGTGGTGATCGAGTCTTTACACTTGCATCCGGTGGTGGAAATGCGATAACTCTCCTACTTGACGATCCAGCTGAAGTCGTGGCACTTGATTTTTCCATTCCGCAACTGCACTTGGCAAAACTACAGTCAGCCTGCATCAAATATCTCTCATATCAAGAGTTCATTGACTTTGTTGGAGTTAAAAATATGGAACCAGAAGAACGGGTCAGAATTTTTAACTCCATAAAAGGAGCACTTGAAGCTGACGTACGTGAGTATTGGAATGCTAATACATCAGATATAAACCAAGGGATAATCAATTGTGGAGATTTTGAGCATAGATTCAAAATTTTTGCAGAGAATGCCATGAATGTTGCGCTGAGTCCCAACCAAATGGAAACATTCTTATCAATGGGCGACGATATGAATGAACAGAGACGATACTTTAAAGATGTCATTGATGGTGAAGTCTTCAGGCGAGCATACCGAAGGCTTGGTTATTGGACATTCAAAGGTACCAATACGGATATAATGCCAGCTCTCGATTACCCCAACATTTTTCTACAACATTTTCTCAACAAGGTGAAAACGACACCTATGAATCAAAGCTACTTCATGGAATTCATTTTCACATGGAAACATGGTGTCCTCACTCCACTAAGGGAGTACCTACAAGAAGAGAATTTTGATGTTCTGAAAGACAGAATTGGGCGCATGAAATGGTTACATGGGGAGATGATGAACTACTTCAAGACATTTCCAACACTAAATCAGCCAAAGTTTGATGCTATGGGCCTGTCCAATGTCACTGATTTGATGACACTCAGCAATCATAATACAACCCTACGAGCTGCTGCTAAAGTTGTTAAACAACATGGAAACATTCTCTTTTTATGTGTTAAGGGTCTCCCTAAAACTTGGCCAGAGGATCTTGTGGGATCAGCTGTTGTTATTGAACATGATAAAGTAAAGGAATGTTCTGAAATGGATCGTGCATTCTTCTGGGAAGACATACAGGTTGCAAAGGTATTGTGAAACAATTTGTAACACTGAAGCCTCAGTCACATTTGGTGGCCATAGCTTTACAAAATCAATATAGAAAATCTACATAGTACTACTTATGCCTATATTTTACGCTGCATATTTCTCTCAAAAGACCTGGAGGTGTTTGTAGAATGTATGAATCAGGGATGTTTTTTCATGCATTTCGCTTCAATAAACTTTGAAACATTTTATTGACTATATGATTGCACCATATAATCCCCAAAAATTCTTATTTTCAAGGATTATCTATGGATTATCACACATTATTAGACTCCAGATTGAAAATCTGGAGTCTATTGTTTTTGCCTGTTTTCTTATTATTAGACTCCAGATTGAAAATCTGGAGTCTATTGCTTTTGCCAGTTTTCTTCTTCTTATTATTATTAGACTCCAGATGAAATCTGGAGTCTATTGTTTTTGCCTCTATTCTTATTATTATTAGACTCCAGATTGAAAATCTGGAGTCTATTGCTTTTGCCAGTTTTCTTATTAGACTCCAGATTGAAAATCTGGAGTCTATTGCTTTTGCCAGTTTTCTTATTATTATTAGACTCCAGATGTCAATCTGGAGTCTATTGTTTTTGCCAGTATTCTTTATTATTCTTATTATTATTCTTCTACCTATGTTTTCTCAGTAACTAGAAGACATTGAGTCAAGATCTGTATATGGTCAATTTAGGTCCAGTATCTAGTTTCTCGGAAATTGGGTCAATTTTTTATCTAGGTCAAAGGTCTAGAACTAGGTCAAATCCAGTACTTTGTCACTTTTTCCCATTATCTTGGTCGTCCTTCAATATTTTTGATCCAGGTTTTTTTCATTGTGTTCCTCATAAAAAAGTAGAAAAGCTAGGGTCGATTTAGTTTTTTGGTATCTCAAACCGATTTCGAGATATCAGTGTCCGAAAACGAGGTCCAAAAAAAAGTTCTCCGAATCCAATGTCCAGGATATTAGTCTTATAGGAAATTTTCTCAGGACTCCGAATCTGAAAACCGAATTGAAATCCAACTTCCGGTTCAGGAGTTATGACGTTTTGAAAGTTCGAGAAAAATCGATCTGATGTTACCCTTATAGAATGTCAAGAAAAGTGAAAAAAAATTGAAAAAATACCATTTCCAGGTCCAAGTCAAGGTCAAGTCCAGGTCCAAGTCCAGTTTTGTCCAAGTCAAGTCTAGGTCCAAATCCAGTCCAGGACCTAGATCAAAATCTAGGTCTATCCTATCCTTTCTATCTAGATGATCTTATTCTGGATGATTCTCCCTCCCTATCTATCCTTCCTTCCTATCCTTTCCTATTCTTCCTTCTCATTCAATCCAAGTCCAGGACCAAGTCCAGGTCCAAGTCAAGTCTAGGTCTAAATCAAGTCCAGGGCCTAGGTCAAAATCTAGGTCAAATTCAAAGTTTTTCCTTATTTTTGCGATTCAGACACTTCACTTTAATAATATTGTTCGAAATTTTGTATACGTGTAGCCAAGAGTGTGCTAATAGTGTTAGCCTTTTGCCGTCAGAAAGTATTTTGACCCACTTTTGAGATATGGTGTCCGAAAAGTAGGTCAAAATAAAAAGTTCTCCAAGTTTGAGTTATGAATTAAGAATAGAATTTTCTCAGAAATCCGAATCTGCAAACCAAATTTTGATCCGACTTCCGGTTCCGAAGTTATGGCGTGTCCAAAAAGTAGGTCAAAATAAATTTTCGCCAAATTTAACGTATGAGTTATGAATTAGGGGTAGAATTTTGCCAGGAATCCGAATCTTTAAATCAAATTTCGATCCAACTTCCTGTTCGGAAGTTATGGCGTTTTAAACTTTCGGAAAATCAATCTGATGGTATCCTGATAGAAAGTCAAGAGTAGAGAAGAAAATATTGAAAAATTCATCCATCCTTCCTATCCTATCCTATCCTTCCTATCTATCCTTGCTTCCTATCCTTCCTATCCTCTCCTATCATATCCTTTCTTCCTATTCTGTTCTATCCTATCCTTCTTTCTTATTCTATCCTATCGTTCCTTCCCATTCTATCCTACCTTCCTATTTTATCCATCCATGTTATTCTGGATGACTCAGCTTATTCTGGATGACTCGGCTTATCTTAGATGACTGGGCTTAAAAAAGTCTAGATCTGGAGTCTGAAATTGAACTTCGTTCAATTTCCAAAGTCTAGTTATTATTCTTTCTCTCTTGTCACGTTTTCTCGGTAACTAGAAGGACTTACTTAAATCTGCTAACACAGTCAACTAGGTAATGAGGCCTAGTTTCTGGGAAATTAGGTCAACTTTTTATCTAGGTCAAAGGTCAAGAACTAGGTCAAATCGTGGTTTTTCACTATTTTACAAGTTTTCTCAGTCGTCCTTCGGTATTTTCACTCCGGGTTTTTTTCATCATGTTCCTTAGAAAAAGCTTATTACGAATGGTAAACCGTTTTTTGATTACTCTTACCGATTTTGAGATATGGTGTCCGAAAAGTAGGTCAGAACATAAAAGGTTCTCCAAATTCAACGTGTGAATCATTAAATAAGTGAAGAATTATCTCAGGAATCCGAATCTGCAAACCAAATTTCGATCCGACTTCCGGTTCCAAAGTTATGGCGTGTCCGAAAAGTAGGTCAAAATAAAAATTCGCCAAATTTAACGTATGAGTTATGAATAAGGGGTAGAATTTTGTCAGGAATCCGAATCTTTAAATCAAATTTCGATCCGACTTCCGGTTTGAAAGTTATGGCGTTTTGAAATTTCGAGAAAAATCGATCCGATGTTATCCTGATAGAAAGTCAAGGAAAAAAGATTTTTTTGAAGTGTAAAATACGAGATATAGATTGAGTACAGCTTAAGATAATGAATTCCTATAAAAGAAGGGGACCTCAAAAGCTACCTAGTTTCAATATTTGGACACCAAAATGCCTAGGTCAAAATCTAGGTCAAATTCATAGTTTTTCCTTATTTTTGCGATTCTGGCTACCTACTCAGCTACTTACTCAGCTACCTACTCAGCTACTTACTCAGCTACCTGCTCAGTTGCTTACTCAGCTACCTACTCAGCTACTTACTCAATTACAGTCTGTTACACTGCTTCAAAGGCAAGCAGTTTAACCTGAAATATAAGAAATCTAAATAATATTGTGCAATAATATATAGAAAAATATATTCATATTGCACACGAATGACATTTGTATATGTTGGATTGCTTGTAAATTGGCTCATAAACTCTGTAACCTCTTATATTTTGATGCTTCTCATGTTAATTCTCAAAAAAATAACATGGCGGACAGACCTCAAATTACAAGAGGGCACAGGCTTATTGCACTAAACAATGAATAATCTGAAATATACAAATGTCATTCGTGTGCAATATGAATATATTTTTCTCTATATTATGGCACAATGGTCTATAGATTTCTTAATTTTCAGGTTCAACTGCTTGCCTTTGAAGCAGTGTAACAGACTGTACTTAATCATCTACTTACTCAGCTTCCTACTCTCAGCTCTTTACTCAAGTAAATCAATCTGGAGTCTTAAATTGAACTTTGTTCAATTTACAAATCTAGTTATTATTTTTCTTTCTTTCTTTCTTTCCGAACACTTTTTCTCAGCAACTAGAAGAACTTACTTTAACCTACTTACATGGCTAACATAGCCTATCAACCTAGTTTCTGGGAAATTAGGTCAAATTTGTATCTAGGTCAAAGGTCAAGAACTAGGTCAAATTTAGGTCAAATCAACATTCTGTAAATTATCTTCATTGCTTATTGTCGTTACTCCTTCATCTTTTTTTCATCATGTAGCTTAGAGAAAAACAAATCGAGAGTGTGCCTTCCGTTTTTTGATTACTCTTAGCGATTTTGAGATATGGCGTCCGGAAAGTAGGTCAAACTAAAAAAATTCTCCAAATTTAACATATGAGCTATGGAATAAGGGTAGGATTTCCTCAGGAATCCGAATCTGCAAACCAAATTTCGATCCGACTTCCCGTTTGAAAGTTATGGCGTTTTGAAATTTCGAAAAAATCGATCTGATGTTATCCTGATAGAAAGTCAAGGAAAAAAGATTTTTTTGAAGTGTAAAATACGAGATATAGATTGAGTACGGCTTAAGATAATGAATTCCTATAAAAGAAGGGGACCTCAAAAGCTACCTAGTTTCAATATTTGGACACCAAAATGCCTAGGTCAAAATCTAGGTCAAATTCATAGTTTTTCCTTATTTTTGCGATTCTGGCACTACACTTTTAGGATTTGCTTCAAAATTTTGTATACAGGTAGCAAAGAATGTGCTTATAGTGTAAGCCTTTTGCCGTCAGAGAGTATTTTGACCCACTTTTGAGATATGGTGTCCGAAAAGTAGGTCAAAATAAAAAATTCTCCAAATTTAACATATGAGTTATGAATTAAGAGTAGAATGTTCCCAGGAATCCGAATCTGCGAATCAAATTTTGATCCGACTTCCGGTTCCAAAGTTATGGCGTGTCCGAAAAGTAGGTCAAAATAAAAATTCGCCAAATTTAACGTATGAGTTATGAATTAGGGGTAGAATTTTGTCAGGAATCCGAATCTTTAAATCAAATTTCGATTTGACTTGTGGTTCGGAAGTTATGGTGTTTTGAAATTTCGGAAAATCGATCTGATGGTATCCTGATAGAAAGTCAAGGAAAAAAAGATTTTTTTTGAAGTGTAAAATACGAGATATAGATTGAGTACAGCTTAAGATAATGAATTCCTATAAAAGAAGGGGACCTCAAAAGCTACCTAGTTTCAATATTTGGACATCAAAATGCCTAGGTCAAAATCCAGGTCAAATTCATAGTTTTTCCTTATCTTTGCGATTCTGGCACTACACTTTTAGGATTTGCTTCAAAATTTTGTATACAGGTAGCAAAGAGTGTGCTAATAGTGAGAGCCTTTTGCCGTCAGAAAGTTATTTGACCCACTTTTGAGATCTCGTGTCCGTAAAGTAGGTCAAAATAAAAAGTTCTCATAATTTAACTTACGAGTTATGAATTAAGGGTAGAATTTTCTAAGGAATCCGAATCTGTAAACCAAATTTCAATTCGACTTCCGGTCAAAAATTCCTACTTACCTACCTACTTACCTACTCGGCTACCTACTTAGCTACCTACTCAGCTACCTACTCAGCTACTTACTCAGCTTCCTACTGAGCTACTTACTCAATTACTCAATCATGTACTTACTCAGCTTCCTACTCAGTTACTTACTCAGCTCTTTACTCAAGTAAATCAATCTGGAGTCTTAAATTGAA